CCATAGACTATAGACATTACCTACAGGATGCTATACATGTCTTGTCGGGTGTAAACATAACACATAGACTACAGACATTACCTACTGGATGCTATACATGTCTTGTCAGGTGTAAACATAACCCATAGACTATAGACATTACCTACAGGATGCTATACATGTCTTGTCAGGTGTAAACATATGCCTTGTCAGGTATAAACATAACCCATAGACTATAGACATTACCTACTGGATGCTATACATGTCTTGTCGGGTGTAAACATAACACATAGACTACAGACATTACCTACTGGATGCTATACATGTCTTGTCAGGTGTAAACATAACCCATAGACTATAGACATTACCTACAGGATGCTATACATGTCTTGTCAGGTGTAAACATATGCCTTGTCAGGTATAAACATAACCCATAGACTATAGACATTACCTACTGGATGCTATACATGTCTTGTCGGGTGTAAACATAACACATAGACTACAGACATTACCTACTGGATGCTATACATGTCTTGTCAGGTGTAAACATAACCCATAGACTATAGACATTACCTACAGGATGCTATACATGTCTTGTCAGGTGTAAACATATGCCTTGTCAGGTATAAACATAACCCATAGACTATAGACATTACCTACTGGATGCTATACATGTCTTGTCGGGTGTAAACATAACACATAGACTATAGACATTACCTACTGGATGCTATACATGTCTTGTCTGGTGTAAACATAACCCATAGACTATAGACATTACCTACTGGATGCTATACATGTCTTGTCAGGTGTAAACATAACCCATAGACTATAGACATTACCTAATGGATGCTATACATGTCTTGTCAGATGTAAACATAACCTTCTGAATGTTGTGCGTGTTCAGTTTGGTGTAGACTATGCCGTTTCACATGTCTAGTCATGTTTAGACAGTAGCTACTGAGCTCCATGATATAAGGTGCAGTAACTACCTGCTTAATGTTGAACTTGTCTAGTTGTGCATAGTTATTGTCTGTGGTTATTTTCTGTTGTTATATTTTGTTATATTCTGTGGTTATATTCTGTTTTTGTTTGTGGTTATTTCCTGTTATTGTTTGTGGTTATTCCTGTAAGTATCTGTGGTTATTTTCTGTGGTTATATTTTTTATTGTCTGTTGTTATTGTCTGTTGTTATTTCCTTTTATTGTGTGTGGTTATTCCCAGTTATTTTCTGTGGTTATCCCCAGTTATTGTTTGTGGTTATTCCCAGTTATTTTCTGTGGTTATTTCCAGTTATTTTTGTGGTCATTTCCTGTAATGGTCTGTGGTAATTTACAGTTATTGTTTGTGGTAATTAGCTGTAATTGTATGTGGTTATTACCAGCTATTGTCTGTGGTTTTTTCCTGTTGTTGTCTGTAGTTATTCATATTTATTTTCTGTGGTTATTCCCACTTAATTTTGTGGTTATTTTCTGTTATTATATGTGGTTATTTCCAGTATCTGTCTGTCGTTATTTTCTGTTTTTGTCTGTGGTTGTTCCCAGTTATTGTCTGAATTCCTGTAATGGTCTGTGATAATTTCCAGTTGTTGTCTGTGGTATTTTCCTGTTATTGTCTGTGGTAATTTTCTGTTATGGTCTGTGGTTATTTCCTGTTATCGTTTGCAGTTCTTTCCTGTTATTGTCTGTGGTTATTTCCTGTTATTGTCTTTGGTTAATTACGAATTGTGTCTATGTTTTTTTCCGGTTATAGTCTGGTTATTTTCTGATATAATTTGTGGTTATATGCTGTAGTTCTTTATGGTAACTTCTAGGTATTGTCTTTGGTTATTTTCTGTTAAAGTTTGTGGTTATATGCTGTAGTTACTTGTGGTAACTTCTATGTATTGTCTTTGATTATTTTCTGATATAATTTGTGGTTATATGCTGTAGTTCTTTATGGTAACTTCTAGGTATTGTCTTTGGTTATTTTCTGATATAATTTGTGGTTATATGCTGTAGTTCTTTATGGTAACTTCTAGGTATTGTCTTTGGTTATTTTCTGATATAATTTGTGATTATATGTTGTAGTTATTTGTGGTAACTTCTAGGTATTGTCTTTGGTTATTTTCTGTAATAGTTTGTGGTTATATGTTGTAGTTGTTTGTGGTAACTTCTAGGTATTGTCTTTGGTTATTTTCTGTTAAAGTTTGTGGTTATATGCTGTAGTTACTTGTGGTAACTTCTAGGTATTGTCTTTGGTTACTTCAAACTAATGTTTGCAGTTACTTTCCCGTTACTGTCGACTCAAATATAGACCGAACAAAGTACTGCCGTGGTGGTAGTTAAACCTAAAGGAACAAATAATAAAACATAAATCAAATGAAGTTTCAGATTAGCTGCAAACCAAATCACACAAAGGTGCTAATTCTCCACGAGTAGAGTATTTGACATAACTTTATACATTGTCACATAAATTCTTTCTTATCTTTCCTCCAATCGTTTGACTAGATCATGCAAAGTCCGTTACAAATACACAATTCCTTTGAAAAGTCTAACAAAAAGATGTCAAATGACACGGGAACATGCTATAATCATAATTAACGAAGGTATATTCGTACATGTTACATTTGTCTTGATAATAGATAGTGCATATGGTTTACAAAAATATGCTATCTTACTGATTTATATAACACATAATCAATACAAAAGAAATATTACATAAAAGATGATATTGCACAAAATTAAGTAACGTGATTTAAAGTTTTACCATTTTATTCAGACTCACAGTAGGATATAAACATAACTTGTCCCATTAACCAACGAATGTAGTTTTTTTCAAATCTTTAAAAACTATGTCATATCAAATAGCGTCTTATAGGCAAAATGTAACAAAAGAATGATAAAGAATGCTATCTTTACTGCAACAGCAATCATAAACGTTTGCTCCTTGTTGAAGTCCCGATTGTGGCTTTTGAAACGAAGAGAAAATAATTATACGCTGTTCCCTATAGCTTTGGGTTTTGACAAGTGCGCGTAGGGATATTTGTTATGAATCAATACAACCATCTCATCTTTTCTATTCATTTAAATAAAATAATCATATCAACAGAAATGTAACTAAATACGAGCACAACTGTAAAACTATATCTCATTTTTTTCATGAAATCAATGAACGAAGGCAGCTTCAGTAACATATATTATTCCTCGGAGAGCAAGCTAGATACATGCACATTTTATAAAGAATAATATCCACGGAGAACATTGACCTTAATTGCACGCACTCATTGTCTAGAAAAACCGTAGACAACAGTATGTATTCACAAGCATTGGCATCTAAACAAACATTTATGTAATCCCAATGCAACTTTGAAGACAGTCATTCTATGCAACTATCCCTTCCTGTACAAACACAAGTGTTATGCTAAGTGAATCGTAATCCCGGACGACTTAAAGACTCATTTAATTGTAATTCACACATTAAGACTTGACTTGGGAAGTATTTATAGTCAACTACTATCATTGACTATAAACTTTAACGAAACATAGAAACGAAACATTTGGATTTCCTCGAAACTATGGAATGACCACAGTTTGTTCCTTAGCAAAGATGGCGATGGTGTGAAGTGTTTGTCAATTGAAACAAATTTACAATGTAGTTTGTAAACATATAAATATTTGATATCAATATGACAATAAATGAATGAATGAATGAATGAACGAACGAAAAACAGGAAAGTTCATAAATTATTTACTCTGTGTTTAGTGTTTTGACAATGCGATACTTTACTCAAATAATTAAATACTGGTATGACATTTAGTAAGGTATAGTTGAATCTTAACATATTTTCTTTAAATAATAGAAAAAATGAACAAAACAATCCAAATACTGATTTTGTGTCATGGATGGATACCCCATATCCTTTCTTTTCTATTATATTGTGTTCTCTCTCTCTCTCTCTCTCTCTCTCTCTCTCTCTCTCTCTCTCTCAAGTGTCATGGTGAAAATAAATTAGCGTAAAAGATCATGAAACCACATAGTTTTATACACTATAGGCACAGTACACTGCTTTTCATATCAATATGTATGCACGAATGTTTCTTATATATAACACATTATCAAAAATTAATCAATATTGATATCAAAATAAGTTTGTTTTGTATAAACCTTCGTGTTGAAAATTCAAAACTGTTTTTCGCTAATAATTTATAAATGGAATCTGTCAAATTTTGGTGATTAAAATCGTCCTTGTTTAGACACGCACCTTATGAAGATATATTCTATTTAATAAGCCAACATTTCTTTCTATTTTATCAAATCTTACTGGACATTCTTGATTATCAGATCAATAAATCTATCACAAGTAAAACGTTTACTTTTGATTAAGGAATATTTAATACCGAACTCTTTCCTCTACCGATAAAGATTTCTTATTTAAAGTACCTTGTATTATTGATGAATGCAGGATTTAATCCGAACGGACAGACACAAGGAAAGAGTATGATATGACAATTATTTCTTCCCCCATTTCAGTTCAGTATGTCTTATGCATTTAAGTTATCCTTTTTCTATTTGATATTTTAAGATTCTTTTTATGGTACTCCTGGAAGTTAAAAAATTTCCCAACATTTTCTCTCTCTCTCTCTCTCTCTCTCTCTCTCTCTCTCTCTCTCTCTCTCGTTCTGTGTCTGTCTGTCTCTCTCTGTCTGTCTGTCTCTCTCTCTCTTGTTGTTTTATTTTATGTCATGTATTGAACTATGTTTTATGTATCAATTAAACGGCTTGTACTGATGTAAACATTCTGTAGTTTTCATATGAGCAAATTGAATGGTGTCTCAACTGCATTTAAATGCGCTTCATGTTTTTTTAAATTCAGCATTCTGTAAGTTTTTTAAAAGTTGAAATTAATGGTTATGTATATTTTATTTATCATATTTAGATTTATGTCGTAGTTAGAAAAAAACTATAATTGTTATTATATATATAAATATATTAAAAAAAGAAGGTCTAGGCTGTTTCATAAAGATCTTTTGAATATGTTGTAGGTTAGAAGAGAACTATTGTATCTGTGAAGGAGTGTGTTTGCCGCGGTGTATACTGTATGCACATTATTTAGACTTCTGTAGAAAAGAAACACTAGAGCCCGCATGTGCAGCTACTTTTGGAAAGGTATTGATTTTGATTTTAGTAATAATAAATCTTTGCTAGATATAAAAATAAATGAATGAAAACAACAAAAACTGTTCTAATATATAAAGTTTTGTAATTTGAAATTTATCTATGGTATAGTAAATACGAATATTGTAAATAACAAAACATGTTTTTCTTACTTCTTATTTTAGACGATAAGACAGAAATTTCCACATCTTACGACAAGACGACTTGGTACACGAGGACATTCAAAGTAAGTTTTTTTTTATCCTATCATTTATCAAATCTGAAAATGGATGAACTATTTGCCACTGGGCGTTAGACAAATAACAATTAATCATGATTGTAGATGAAATTTATCCATATTTCCTTTATCGACCAAAAGTCCACTTTATATTAAAAATATGGACAGTTCACAGATCAATGCCAGATTCATCTACGGAACTTTTTAGTTTTTTAAGACTAGTAGTTTACGACATTTTTAATATTAATAGCGAGTATTAGTTACATCATTCTTTCAATAACACTATTATCAAAGCGTCTTACACATGTAATCAACCCCTGTTTTAGTGAATTTGTGTTGCTGGATCCCCCTTTCAATGACGCTATCATCAAAGCGTCTTACACATGTAATCAACCCCTGTATTAGTGAATTTGTGTTGCTGGATCCCCCTTTCAATAACACTATCATCAAAGCGTCTTACACATGTAATCAAACCCTGTTTTAGTGAATTTGTGTTGCTGGATCCCCCTTTCAATAACACTATCATCAAAGCGTCTTACACATGTAATCAACCCCTGTTATAGTGAATTTGTGTTGCTGGATCCCCCTTTCAATGACGCTATCATCAAAGCGTCTTACACATGTAATCAACCCCTGTATTAGTGAATTTGTGTTGCTGGATCCCCCTTTCAATGACACTATCATCAAAGCGTCTTACACATGTAATCAACCCCTGTTTTAGTGAATTTGTGTTGCTGGATCCCCCTTTCAATGACGCTATCATCGAAGCGTCTTACACATGTAATCAACCCCTGTTTTAGTGAATTTGTGTTGCTGGATCCCCCTTTCAATGACCCTATCATCGAAGCGTCTTACACATGTAATCAACCCCTGTTTTAGTGAATTTGTGTTGCTGGATCCCCCTTTCAATGACGCTATCATCGAAGCGTCTTACACATGTAATCAACCCCTGTTTTAGTGAATTTGTGTTGCTTGGTCCCCCTTTCAATGACGCTATCATCGAAGCGTCTTACACATGTAATCAACCCCTGTTTTAGTGAATTTGTGTTGCTGGATCCCCCTTTCAATGACGCTATCATCGAAGCCTCTTTACTGCACATGGGGTCAATCCCCGATCCCCGTCCCTCAGTATTTAGTAGGGTTTGTGTTATTTATTCTTTGTAATGAATGTCTCTGAGGACTTTCTTTTTTGCTTATGGTCTAGTGTGTTCTGTCCTTTGTTTGTTGCTAGAGATTTGTTATCCCCTTACGTTTTTTTCTCTTCTACAACTAAAACTAAAAATAAGACAGTAAAAGGTATATGTATTTCACTCTTTCAGATATCATTATTATGGACAGTATGAAGTATATGTATTTCACTCTTTCAGATATAATTATTATGTACAGTATGAAGTATATGTATTTCACTCTTTCAGATATCATTATTATGGACAGTATGAAGTATATGTATTTCACTCTTTCAGATATCATTATTATGGACAGTATGAAGTATATGTATTTCACTCTTTCAGATATCATTATTATGGAATAGGTATTAGAGAGACAAGTCAGTATTACCATTCAGTGTATACTGGGAAGGGATTAACTCGGTAAGTAACCTTTTTCATCATTATCAGGAAACATATGCGGTGACCTAAAATTGCTTACATCAACTCATTTGATCTCTACTGGATAGTTCTCTTATTGGTAATCATACCACATCTACTTACTTAATATGTTTTCGTGTAAAATTGGCGAATTAAATATTTAAATGTTAATATATGATTTTATTTTTTTATTTTTTCAATACATTACGATCATGATCATGTGAAACTCAGTTTAAAATACCTTGTCATCGTCCATACTATAGCTCAAAATACTGTTAGATATGACTGAAGATCTTTTCTTTGGCAATCTTTACAGATTACCTAATATACAGTAGATTTAAAACACAAGGCTAACGTGTTTTTGAAGAAAGTATTAAAATGATATAGTATATTGTAATGTTTACTGGTTATGAACTTCGTTTAAAAGCTGTGAGGTAATTTAAAAATAATAAAAGGCATTTGAACTGAAGGCAGTATTTTCACAGCAGAGGTGTTAACCTGAGCTTTACATAACGCTTTTTAAGTGAAAAAATAAACAAGAAAATTTTATTTATTTATTGCACATACATGTAAAATACGTTCTTTTCGAGGGTGTTTATATCAACAAAAAACTTGTTTAAAGTCACTTAAAGGCGTTATTTCAAACACTTATTTTAATATTATATTTACAGTTGCAAATTTATTTCTTAGTGTAAACTATTTTTCTATTAAGTTTAGAAGAAGTGGTTTTAAAAATCAAAAGAAACACTCATAAGAGCATCAATCTAATATTTGTACGAAGAAAATGAACAATTAGACACGAATACTCCGTTAACAACCTATTATACTTTTGTACATGCAAGTTAACCTCTTTGGTAAAAATTTACAGCTTTATAAGATTATTACTGTATTTCTAATTTGTTTTAGCAGATTTATAATCACTTCTGAAGAACATTCACAGTGTCAAAGAATTTTTTGACAGCTCATTTAGATATTTTTTGTCTGGTTGTAAAACTGCAGGTGTTCAAGTTATGTAAAATTGGATCAAAGTTATAACATAAGTGGTTTACATATATTTAATAAACCCATTTTGAACAAGTAATTGAAATACTTTTGGTCTAACATTAAAAACGTAATCAATTCTGATCAACTATTGCTACATCGATGAAGTTTTGAATTAATCGAAACATTCAACAAGATAGTGGGTTTTATCTTTGAAAAATCTAACAAGATCAGGTTTCTCCCTAAACAAATCATAATTCAAATTATCAACTGTAAGAAAAAATAAAAATAAAAATAATCACAAGAAGAATATGTGACTATAGGACAACATGCCCGATTCACACTGTCACATTTCTATGTTAAATATAACATGAAATCCTGGTCAAAACACTCATTTGACATTTTTTTAAAAGTTCACATTATTATGGACATGTGAACTTTATTTCAAGATGATGTGACCAGAACTATGCGGTAAACTTCTTTAAACCAGAATTGTAACTTGAAACGGGAAGGATGGACGGACAAACTGACTAGAAAACATAATCCGTCGTGGGCGGAGCATGAAAAAAACATTTATATTTTCATTCCTCTTACATTAAAACCATTCTTAAATGAAGTGTTGCAGAAGTTAACGAAAAGATGTTTTGAATATTTCTATAATTTTTTTCCTCGTGACTCAGTGGATGGGCTCTACATGATATATGAAGTTCATACGAGTCGATAATTTATTCTATAAATTAAATCCACAGTGAACAAGCTGCATAATTTATGATATAACATGATAGTATCAAACCTGTTACTTTAATATCAGAACAAAAGAACCAATTCAGCTACATCTGGTTTATTCCAATTTATCTTCCACGTTTACAAAACTTCAATACATTTCTATGATGAAGTATTAAATTATTTGATTAAACGTTTGCTTTAGATGTCTGGCTTATCAAACTTCGACGTTGGCTATTGTTGACCTGATGAAACAGCTTATAAATGCCTTAAAACCAAATAATACGGCTATGACCCAACTTTATCTTCGCTACATAAGGTTTTGGTGATATTGAAATACGCTCTGGTATAAATGTATACATAGAGAATGGACCTTATCGGGCAGCCCTGATTAAGAGCTTCCAGCAATGTATATTTGTCGACATAAATCTAATTATATTTATTTACCAGATAAAGAAGGAATTGTCCGTTGAGCCTGTATCATATCTTTCAGGTTAACCTAGATATTCATTGTTTATGTTTACGGGTCTTATTGGAAATATATTTAACTGTTTCTACTGAGTATATTAACGGTTACATTAAACCAAAAGCTCGTCAAATGGAGGTGTTTTCAAAATTAGAAAGTATAAAAATAATAACTCTTTCATTTTGTCATTTATTTGCAAATTTTTGAGCATTGGCATATATTGTCCAAACCAAATAACCTAATTCGTATGCATGTATCATAAATATAAAATTTGGCGCCTAATTTGATTACATTGCAATAATGTATTTATCTGTTAAACTTTTAAATCAGATGAGAACAACAGAACATGCATTAAAGTACTGTAAATTCAGAAATTATTGCGTGCATTTATTACTGCAATTTTTGAAGAATGGACAAAATTCGAGATTAGTTATTGCGATTTTAGAACAAATTTGCATAAAGATATATGCATCAGATATCATAATGCGAGTTCTTATTAATGCGATGCACGCCTAGTCGCATTATTCGCAATAATTAAAACCTCGCAACAATTTCTGATTTACAGTATGTAAGACGTCACTTGTCTTGAGGTAGAGAAATATTATCATTTTTAATTTTTTTGTGAACATGTATACTGGAATGTCCCTTCTTGAATAACTATTCATTATAAATATTTGCTAGTTCATGTTCGCTACACACTATTTCGGTCAAGTTTTGATTCCATGATTGTTGACTGTTTAACATATGGATATCGATACAGAAGCATACTCACAACAACAGTCAATAAAACTAGTCCTGATATCGATACAGAAGCATACTCGCAACAACAGTCAATAGAACTAGTCCTGATATCAATACAGAAGCATACTCACAACAACAGTCAATAGAACTAGTCCTGATATCGATACAGAAGCATACTCGTAACAACAGTCAATAGAACTAGTCCTGATATCGATGCAGAAGCATACTCACAACAACAGTCAAATAGAACTAGTACTGATATCGATACAGAAGCATACTCACAACAACAGTCAATAGAACTAGATAATATCGATACAGAAGCATACTCACAACAACAGTCAATAGAACTAGTACTGATATCAATACAGAAGCATACTCACAACAACAGTCAATAGAACTAGTCCTGATATCGATACAGAAGCATACTCACAACAACAGTCAATAGAACTAGTACTGATGTAGTTAAACTCTTCAAAGATAAGTCATCTCCAGGTTATAAAAGATAAATTAATACATTGACATTTTAAGATTGATATATATATAGAAATATTGGTGTAACTAAATGTTAGCGGTATTTTATTTGTTAAATTTTTATTTCTTCAATATATGTTTAATGTTTTTTTCTTCAGGTTTTCAGGATGCAAGCTGAAAAATGAGGTAAGGAGTAAATTTAATCTTTTAATTTCGATAGGAGTTAAATTTCAATATTTTTATCATTCTATTAATATAGCCCTGTAGTTTTTAGAGGAATAGATTATGATAAAAAATCGTTGTGGCAATTCACATGATAACATTATATCGAAAGTCATATTCGGATATTGTTTTATTAAAATTTGCTGTTATAAAATTTTGGAAATTATTTTTAAAATTAAGGTGTATCTCCCTCATACATATCTCTGATTCCTTGTCCGGATTTGGCTATACTTGAGTTCCGTTTTGGTTTGAGCCGCTCTTCAACATTTGTTTTAGATTTCGGATGTTCAAATATTTAGGCTTCGAACATAACTGACTAGACATTAATTGTCGAAATGCGCATCTGGTGCATTAAAATTAGTACCGTTTATTTTATCACATCGATATTGGCTAAGACTAGAGTAGTCTCAGATATTGGTAAGGAGTAAATTTATCCCTTAAAAGTCTTGAAAGAAATAATATTTCTATAGTGCAGAAATATGTATTGTCAAAATATAATATTAATTGTTTTGAATAACATTGTGGACTATAAAAAGAGATACAAGTTACGTACACTGTTTAACAAAATTTTCAATCATATATCAGTATTGTTTATGTTTTGCATAACTTTCGTTGTTACAAATAATCTGAAATCAAATGACTCTATCTTTCTTTTTTACAACGTCTTGTTGAAGAAAGAAGATACTGATCGTTTTAAATATTGTACATCTATCACCTATTTCTGAAAACAAAAGACATTTGTTCATCTAGTAATTTCAAATAAACATAAAGAATAAGTATTAAATGCATTAGGCGACATTGTATGCATTAATGTTATCGGTAACAGTAACATTATAGGCTGCAAATAATTCTCAGTTTGAAAGACGCAGAGAACTTCTAAAAACCTCTGAAATCTAAACTACAGACATATATTTATTTATATATTCATTTAAAACTTGTTTTTAGATACACAAATACACAAAATAGTAAAGTTTGAAAGGAGTTAATATTTAGTTTACTAATAGGTAATAAGATTTTTCGTGAATGACCATGACAGTAAGATAGCATAAATTTACAATAAACAACCAATATAATGAAAATCTTAACGGCAGTCACCATATATATATATTGGATGTTACCTTTCAAATAGATTGACCACCTCAAAGATATTAAGGCAAATAATTTTTAATAAAATGATATTAACAAAGACCTACTTACAAGTATGGAGGTAAATTATGGTATATTGGTAGCAGTACTTTAGACGAGATTACATCATCGTAAACCTTTAAATATGTCATTATTTTATGTAAATTTTATATATTTTTTAAAGACACTACAAAAGAGTCAATAGCATATACATGTTCTGTCAAGTTTAGAAACTATATCAATCTAAAGATAAAATGAAGCTGGTAGCATTTAGAATTCAGAAGTAATATATCATGATATATTTATTCTAGACTTCCTTAAATTGAAATTCACTCATCCAACAAACATCACGGATGCATTTATTCCATTAGAAATTCATTTTATCAGTGTTTACATTTAACAAATTTATTTCTTCATCTTTATTTACAATGTTAAGATGGGATGATTATTTATCTCAGTGTTTTATCATTAATCTTAGTATCACTTTCTTAATCCTCTATACTTACTACTCTGTCGCCATCAACTGAGGTATGCTTTTGACACCAGTGTTTTATAAATGCTACTTAATGATGTTAGTGATTATAATAGACTCGGACCAGACTCACTGATGATGTTAGGACTCGTGTAAAATGTTTCCCTATAACGTCTGAAAAAACGCCATTTAAGCTTCTGCTACAAGTACACATTGTAATTATATGCAATTTGTTAAATGATTTCGCTTGTAAATCTTTTTGCATCTAAAGTTGTTAAATATATGTCTTTATAAAATCTTTCTTTGTCCAAAAAATAAAAACACCAAGCTCAGTGTTTTATATATAGAAATGCATGTTGTAAATAGCATTGAAAAATTATTGAAAGTGAATTTGTCTTTTACAAGAGATGTTCTATAAAAGTCAAATACATGTATTGACACAGTGCAATCTTATGATTCGCCCAGTATTTACTCAGAATCTTTGTTTCATACATAAATTAATTCTTAAGGGATTGTTTTACTGTTTCAACATGAATTGCAATGTTATTTTTTTTTGTCATGCTGTGTGTTTCTCAAAACAGTATAAGTAAATACGATGAAAAAAAAATGGGTATCATTAATTTACATTTTAAGGATTCATTTTAATTTTTTATTACTGGATAGAAATGTCTACCGGTTTTACATACAAGGCAAATAATTATCATGAATAAACGATTGCATAAAAAATTGCAATTATTTCACAGCATTGTATAATATTTATCAAAATAGGTTCTGGATGTAATATAATGAATTAATTTCAGGGAGGCTTTACAAGAAAGTATACTCTTAGTTCGAAGACGGGAACGCTGTTACCAGAATTTCCTAATGCACAATACTTGATTTTACCGTTGTCTATACCCCGAGAAAAGGTAACGCTCTTTTTTTGTAATTTTAATAAGATAAAAAAAAGTAAGGACAAACATGTCAGCATCGTATTGGTTCATTTAATATATGAATCAGAACTGAGTAAAATTGAACATCTATAGAATTATTATTCCTTGGATGAACATAGAACATAGAGTAAGTGAACCACGATGGTCTCTTGAAATTAATGTACTACATAAAAAATTACATCGAACTATCTACATCATGTATGTACCTAGTATAATTTCGACGTCATTTCCTTGTAAGTGGTCTATTTCGCACGTTATTCTCAAAATCACAGACGTCCTAAAACTAATTCATATTATTTTCTGTCTAATCAATTGCTAATTAATTTTACTAAGTATGAATTTTATATTCGCCCTGTCAGTAGCTTATGAAGACTACATAATATTTATTAGCTAAATAAAATACTCCTCTCTCAAATTTAATATATTTTATTGCATTTTCCCTAATGTTTATTGATTTAGTGATAAACTTTGTACTAGGAGCTTGTTTATTAATTGCTAGAAAATCCAGTCTTTTTCTTCATATGAAATGTTTCCAACAATATTAACCTTATGTAAACATTCATTTGTTGACATAGTCATTGCCGTCTTAGAAATTATAAAAGGAAAAATGTATCAACGTTTAATTTATCACTGAGGTAATTTACGTAGTCTCGGCATATGTCAAGCCCAGTGAATTAGAATAGCACGCAAAACACACCATTAACTTAAAATCGGAATTAAAAGGTAAAAGACTTTTTATATATTTCTGACTATATAGTATAATGTTACGGCAAACGGTATAAACTATGTTTATATAGTAAATTACCGTGGTCAAATGTTCACAATATATAACTCTCGAAAAAATAACAAACAGATGAGTGTCGTACAGCACGAGTTCCAACAGGTGCGTGATTTATGCACGGTAATATCATTGGCAGAGCTTAGTGTTTGGAGCCAGGATAGACAGAAACATATTAAATGTAGCATTCCGGTCCTTTATTGTTCTAATCTCTCAGATTATCAGTGCCATTTCAATAAAATGAGTCATGTTGTTATATTGGCAAGAAATATAACATTGTTTATGAGATATACTTTTAACAATGGGTTCATTCTCCAATAACATTTCATTTATTTTGACACTTTTTTTTAGAAAAAAGAAGAAACTTCTGTTCCTGTTTGCCACATTTTTTATTTATTCAAAGATTTGTCCTCTTGATAAATATGTTTGTTGCTTCAAATTTAAAACTACGTTTTTATTTCATATATTTTTATACATTTGTCAATTAAAAAAGCAATTTAACTTTTTGGTTACATAATGACAATGCTGCCTGATTTAAAGAAAAAACCTTTAAAATTTTCCTATTTCTGAAAAAAGCAATACGGTTTTTATTCTTTCTTTTTCAAGTTTTATATGAATTATCTGCTTTTATTTTAGGTTGAGACATTTATCATGATGTACAAAACACATTGTCAATGTATTTTAGATACTGCAATTAACGCAAACTTTGAAGAGGTAAGTGAATTAATAATCAGTAGATCAAATTAAGATATAGATATTAAAAGGGAGTCATCAAGGCAAAGCTGAATATTTTTGAACTTTTTTTTCTGGAAGACTATAGTCATCAGATTTTAACAATGGTGATCTGAAGCTCATCCTGGGTTTGAGTAGGGTTTGTGTTCGTCAATTTTAAGCTTTGTTTCAATGTGTTCTTTTGAGAATAGTGTTCTATGTAACTCGGAACACACTTTAATATCACTGTAAACTTAAAGCACGAATATAAGCAATTCGTTCTTAACAAGTTTAAGAAGAATAAAAACAATACTATTTGGACGCACAAGAGCCGGAAAATGTCAAACCAGGAAATTGTGTATCATCTTACAGAATGATAATGCAGAATTGTAACACTAATCTTTGTGTCAATATACAACACCAATTTAAGTCCTAATAACATCTTCCAAATTCTTCTTAATGTCCAATGATTACAAATGTATTGATTAGTTCATTTAAATTTCAATTGGAACACCACTGTATCCCCAATAGAAGTTTTGTGTATTAACATTCCTAGTTTGTGATGGTCCTGTGGTATGTGTATACAGATCATTGTAAACCCTAATGAACTGAACAAGACTTTTTGTGTTGACTTTGACAAAGGTGCAAAAATCAATAAAATTAACATGAAATGTGTCTCTTACATTTAACACGAGTTTTCGGTTAAGGTGGGACAGAAAAGTGAAAGCAACTTTAATGATGCAAATTACTTGGGTGAATTACTTTATTAGTTTTTACTTAGAATAAGTATAAAGAAAATCGAAATAAACTATAATCTAATATAAAATATAAAAAACGGATCACACTACTTTTTTTTCTATTACTAAATATCCTTTTTATTTTATTTTTTTAACATTTTTTTCTCGCCCTTATATTGTAGTACTGAGAAAGACAAACGTTCTGAATGTAATAGTTATTCTTTTGGCAAAAACAATGCAAATACATTTTCTTGTTTTCTGTTGATGCAAGTAAAATTAAGATAGGTCTATATAGTATTCAAAATGTTATAATCAACAAGATATTATTTTTATTTAAGTCTTAATTATCCCAAATGTTTAGGTTTTTTAATAGGAGAATTCAGTGACATATTTATGTAAAGTTTACTCTGTACATGTCCAAATAATGGTTTAACAAAATTTCCCTTTTTAGAACAAATTACTTAAAAGCAATAGATGTAGAAAAATACCGGAAAAGTAGAGGATTAAAACGATCTTTGATGTAGATCTGAAAGGATATCTAAAACTTTAATCCTTTTACAGAGAAAGTATGATATCATTATCTAAGTATTATGTCGGATCAGAGTTGTAAATACATTGTAAACACAACGATTAATACAAAATGTTTCCATCACAAAGGAAGGAGAACTTTGGTAAAGACTGAAATATTAAATTAATAATATAGCATGTTTTCATGACAAAACGAAGTATATAATACTAGGAAAATCATCTGTTCAAAAATGGCTAAGGAAGGCTCCTTACAGTAAAGGATGAAAATTACAAGCTTAGGTCCAGTACCAGTTAATTTCCCTGTCTGATACCTCGTTGAATTTTGGGTATTTGTTTGATATTTTGAAGTGGATACTTGATAAACCTTCTGTTATTGGGTTTGTTGAACAAAGATACATGATGTTAGTGTAATTAATTTGTTTGAGAAAAGTGGAGTGATGCGATTTTTGTAAATAAAGAGACAAATTCTTTCAACAAAGCATTAAAAAATCAAACTTAAATCCGATTTAATTCTGTCAAACTTTAGACAAGTCAGTTATTGTACATTTTACTTCATTAGTAAATAAAAATAGAAAAGAAAGCAACACATATTCTCCATCCCGGCAGTCAATACTTTGTATTGAACTATTGACTTCAGTGTATGATGATGACTATGTTTAACATTTGTGCAATTACCAGACATTAATGCATTTTGGTGTTTTTATACTGCACCGTCTTTTAATCCAATTTTCAAATTTGAAAGTCTCTCAGGATATACATTCGTCTGAAGTTTTGAATAAGTACTTATAAGCGATTTTAAAATCAGATGCTTGACTTTAAATGTGTTTGCGTATTCTGAAGACTTCCCCAAGAAACAACGAACTATTAAGTTTCATCCACGAATTGACTTATCTCTTTTTGAAACTGATAGTAACCCTCTTTATGAATTTTTCCAATTGCTGAATGTTAAGTATTTTCGATGGAAATTGTTTAACAAAACGCGGCTTTTAACAAAAATTAAACCGTTTGATTTGGAATGAAGATGTCACTAGATTCAAAAACAAATGCAAATGTAAATGCAAATGTTCTCCAAATAAGGTAGACCAATTACTTTATCGTAAATGCAAATGTTCTCCAAATAAGGTAGACCAATTACTTTATCGTAAATGCAAATGTTCTCCAAATAAGGTAGAACAATTACTTTATCGTAAATGCAAATGTTCTCCAAATAAGGTAGACCAATTACTTTATCGTAAATGCAAATGTTCTCCAAATAAGGTAGACCAATTACTTTATCAAAAACTAGTCCTATATACCATATATGATAATGCATTATCACAAATATGTCTGATATATTTACCAAAGATAACCCGAATGCATCTTTAAAAAGGTTTTACATTGAATGATAAAGGTGTTTTTGAGAAAGATAAAATAACACTTGGGCTTTTACACAATTTCGGAACAATGCACAGTAATGTATAAACACATTTAAATAATTTCTTAATCAAGACAGAATAAAGAAAAAGTTATTTGGCATAGTTGTATAATACAATAAGAGTTGTATAATCAGATAACTTTCTGAATATTTCATAGATAAATTATAATTTAATATTTCGATAAAAATGATGAGTATCCCTCTCTTCCTGTGAGAAATTTCTTTATCAAAGGAAACATTAAAGAAGGATCATACTATAGCATGCCGTACTGATAAAAGTTGGGTTCACACCATGACATATTAAATTCTGTTTGAGGTTTAAGTAAAAATTGATATAAATTTGACAAGATAAAAGGTTAAAGCTTCAAAATACTATTGGGTCAGAATTATTGAATATTGCAGAAAATTTCAAAACATGTTTTATAAATTTACCACCCACCTTATAATTATTGATAACAACAGTGTTAACTTTAAATCTTCAAGAAACAAGTTAGATTTTAGTCTAAAAATATTTAATATGGGAAAATTTTATACTCAACACCAAATTCTGACTTTTTATTTCTTAGAGTTAAAAATAATTCTGTTTCGTCTGTCTAGCTAGATGGTACTGTGAAAAGAAAATGCATCTTGAATTTTGGTGATCTTATATAACTTTTATATTTGTTTTTTTTTTCAAAATAAAAACGTCTCAATTCGATTTAAAAAACACATGCTACTTGCTTGTTCCGCACTTTACTGTAACAGATATTTTCGTATCTTTGTATCCGATTTTACATATTTCATTTATGATTGTCCTGATAAAGATTCCCCTCGAAAACAATAAATTGTTGGTAAGTGACTAATGTTTCCTATTCTGATATAATTGATCGAGATATCTTATAATTGATTTGGCTCTGAGTAATATTTTACACCCAAGAAATATAGCCTGAGATCCTGGCTCACTGCTTGACATACTGACCCGAAAAAGGGGGTTGGGCCAGGATCACAGGCTACACAAAATATTACACGTCAACGGAAATCAATTTTAGTCTGTTTGAAATATTTTCATTAAAACGTATTGGATATGTTTTATTTACTTCCCGTATATCCAGCACTATACATGCACATACATTTTATAGGTGGTTCCGGGGATTTTTGTCGAGAATATCACCATGGTTCATCTTAACTTCTCTGTGTATATTTCAACTGCATCCCGAATGATGATAATATTGTTTGACTTAAGCTTAGTTGGCCTCTTAATAGTTTGAAAAAGCTGATAAATGTTATTTCTATTTTTGATTTTTTATATATTTCCATGTAAATTTATGTCTTCCATAACAAAAGTTTAAACAAAGATACTAGTAGTTGTTTACTTTACCGTAGGATTTGGTCCATTGTTGAAGGTCGTACATTGACCTTTAGTGCTAACCTTTGTGTCGTTTGGTTTCCGGTGGATAGTTGTCTCATTGGCAATCATGCGCATCTGGTGTTGTAAGATTGGTTCAGTAATGTTATTCTTATTTTTATATAATTTAGTCCCCTGTTTATATTTAGCTTTTTCATCTCTCAAATTATATGGGGGTTTTACCTTTGTTCAAAATTTGAATGGTCATCAGTGTGTAGTTTCAGATTACCATTTTCCGATAGTGCAGAAATTTTAATCAGTGACAAATTTTGAATCAAATAGATTAGTGCTGACACATTTTTCAATATATTTCTTTTCATAAAACTAACGGGTTCAAAAACGCACAGCGTAATATAAAAAATCTCAATGGTAGCCTGTCATTCTGTTAATCCAAAAACTCACAACATTGTGTAAATTCTCAACCTGCATGGGGTATGGTTAAAAGACGGATTTTTCTTCAAGAATGAAGATTATGAGTCATCGGTTAGGATAATTCCAAATTGTCATGACCATCAATCTACTAGAATAGTTTGTATTATGTATGAATATCTTTGACTTTGTGTCACGTCTTGGATCATGTGTGAAGTTTTTATCCTGTCTCAACACTGACGAAGCAATTATTACGGAGAAGCGTTCCTTTATGTCAACAATTTGAACGTTGGTAAAAAAAATAGACATGTGCACCGATTAATATGGTTGATGTTCTATGAAGGTGTTTTGATAACGAGACGTACTCGCACCATTTAATTTTTTTCTTTGATTTGAACAAAGCATTCAATTCAGACAAAAACAAAAGGAATCGGATTTCAAATAAAATCATGTCAGTTGAATAAACGATCGATGTTTGCGTTTTGCTTGTCTTTTTCATTTATCCATTCGTCTTGAATATGCATGAAACATTTGTCACTGTACATTAATCAAACGCCAATCAATCCTTTATCAATAGACTTTTCTGCACATATTGGATCCAGAAATACCTAAATTTTTACTTTTAGTCTAAAAGAATATGACTGCGTTAACGAAAGTGAATGTTTCTACATACTATTGACAATTTTCGGTTTTTCTGCGTTAAGAAAATAAAAGACTAGTTTACTATTTTTGGTTAATGAAATGTTTTCCTTAGAACAGTAAAACAAGAGCTTTTGAGACTATAGAATCACATGTTTTTTTTTTAGATTCAGAACTTTTTACTACATTTCTGGCAAGGACTTCCAGAGCACCTGTTTCCTCTAGTTGAGAACCAAGTTATAGTTGATGTAATTTGTGTCTGTGATAATATCCTATATAAGGTATGTCTTCTAACTCCAGTGAAGAAAACCAGATGATTATCGACAAAAGATGGACACATAAATAAATAATTCAAAATACTGAAGAATAACACGAGTAAAATGAACACTAGACCGAGCTAATAGGTGTTATAGAAGGTTAGGTCTCTACAAACTGCGTCCGTCACATTGCCTCATTAGAATATTCATTGAAAAAAGTACTTGATCAAAAAGTATGTTCTCCGGAAAAGAGAAGCGTTTGATGAAACAACAGACCATGAAACAAGAGTACTAATATAAAAACATGGACATCAACATGTGAAGTCAAAAGTAAATACAATCAGAAATTAAGAAAATAAGTGGAATCTTTCCATTTTAAATTACAGCAAAACGTCGTCGTATTACTGAAATTCAAAACTTAATTTGATAGTAAAGTTTTGGCATAATATATCAAAATAGTCTTTAGGTTGAAAATTGTTAAAGCAATATTTTAGTTGGTAAATACCAGCCTTACATTAAAATAGTAATCATCTCAAGATCGCAAAACAAACAAAAATAATTGAAGACAATATATTGTATATTTTTAGGTTTTAACAGAGGTTTTAATTCCATCTACAATGCAGGAAATGCCAGAAACGTAAGTAGATGCATCTTTTTGAAAATTTGATGTACCTTTTTCTATAATATGGCATTAAAATAGCATTAGATACGACATAAATACATGTTTGATTCTGCATGATTTAGTTTATTATACCAATTCTCATAAGAAAACATTAAAGTATAAGTAAAGAATTGAAGTCACCTTTTGTAGAATTATTTAGATGTGACTTCAGCGGGAAATACACTGAATAAGTTTGTTACGTCTGAAGCGGTTTTCTGAATTTAACTTCATCAGGAACGCTCATACCAAAAAAAATGAAAGCCAAGGATGTATAATTATATTAACACGTGCAGAGCTATATGACCAAAAGGGGCAATTAAAGCGTATTCAAATCCATCTGTGGTCAATTTAGCATGAGGGAATTTAGAACTTAGCTGTTTTAAAATAATTTCTTGATTTATCATTCGAGAGTTTTATTATAAAACTATGTTATTAATCATGTCAGTATCAAAACCGTTGACAACTAGGCTGTTGATACCCTCGGAACTAACAGTCCACCAGCAGTAGATCGACCTAGTTGTAGACTGGAAATGAAAATAGTACATCATATTAAAAATGTGCACACGGTCGATGCTTTTACCTTTTACATCCCTATAAAGCTGCAAAAAGAAGCATTCAAGTCTAATAAGTACAGTTTAATGCTAAAACCATGAAAATACAAGTTAAATCAAGCTTTTCGTGTAAATTATTTTAAACAATTATATTCATTATTGTAACATTGTCATATAGAGAATGTGCAGTCCTTATCAAACTTGACTTGGTCTTGGTATCTTTTCATTGTTGGAGTTAACAACAGCCAATCAATCATCTTATTATTTTTCACATCTGAATATGCCCCTCCTGGTCTAAGCTATGTACATGAATATCTTAATTAGACGTGATAATGTTTATGTGAGTATAAAAGTTTAACAATTCATTATAGCTAAATATACATTTTGCAGATTATTATGTGATATAAGAAACTTTGCTAAACATTGGGAAAACTGGGTAGCAACTTCCCTTGAAAATTTACCAGAGAAATTATCTGAGCACAAACTTCCAGTAGCAAGGAGATTTTCATCAGCATTAAAACGACAAACATCATTTCTTCATTTAGCTCAGGTATGCATATTTTCACATTGCCTTATAATTTAATTGGAATTTGAAATTTTATTTTTGAGAACGTTTTTCTGCTGTAGTTTGCATACTTCATGCTTTGTCAATGAGATTTTTGGTTTCCTTGAATATTCAAAACATCGCAATTCTTGGAAATATGGATAATATTCTTTTTTGTTATTTGACATGTTGAACATTAAAATTATACAGAGTAGCACATATTTACCTGTATTATGTTGTACCATTGTTGTTCTATTGTTGCATGTTATCATTAGTAACTGTGATAATATGATAATTTTATTACATATTTGTTCTTTAGACTGCTAGACCGGTGCTGTATGATGCCGCTTTAGTAAATCAAACGATAGAAGATGTTGATCGTATAGACTTGAGTAGTATAACCAGTAATGCTCTGTCCACATCAAGTGATTCGGACAGTGACCTAGATGTAAATGGTGAATGTAAGTATGCGACCTTGATATTTAATTTGGACACACAGATGTCGCATATTTCATTGTTATGTATGATACAATATGCGATTTCAATGTTAACTGCCTGTTAATGTATCATGTGATTTTGATATAATTTCTCATAAAATACATGTTAATTTTACATACTTAATTTATGTATAGGAATACACGTTGATTTAAAAATACTGAACTTAATTTGATATATATAGAAATAAATATAAATGTCATCTGACTCTCTTTATAAATATTTATGTATTTGTGACATGCAAAGTTTCGAGACATGGTATCCGTCCAACCGTTTAACATTTTAGAAGAAAAACTTTGCGAAAAATGATTTAATAATTGCTTCGTCATGACTCTGGATTAGACGTTGCTCCACTTTTAATTATGCAATTCCATATTTTGTACTCAAGTGTTGTCTGTTTTTGCCTGGCTTATTAAACATCGGTCAACAACATTTATATAGAAAATCCAATGATCCCAAGATTAAAACAAAATGCAAATAATATGCAGAAAACTAAGAAAATTTAAATAATCTAAATGCTAAAAAAGTTTAAATGCCGTTCTAGAATCTTAACCCGAAAAAGAAATGTTCCTGTTGTTTTTTTAGTTTTAAAAGAATTTAAAGACTTACTGCGGAAGCAGGCAACCGTTGAAGCGTTTACAGAATGGCTAGATACTCTTGTTGAACAGAAAGTTGTTAAGGTAAAATATAGTTAACAGTAAAACTATCGACTATAGCTTTGTAATTCAGTTCAGAAATCAGGGAATTCATCAATTTATTAATTCACCTAATATTACAGATATGCATTATGTTTTGAATAAATGGGGTTGTTGTTAACAAATTAGAATATGTAAAGATTGCTATTGAATTGTCTAAATTTCTGTTTATCCATTAAGGAATTAACAAATTTTCAGCATATTTCTTTTGAGGTATTTTCAAAATGAAACCATTTGTTTATAATTTAGTTAGAGATAATATATTTACCATTACTTTCTTTATATTTCAGCCGAGTAAGCAAAACGGACGATCTTTCAAGAAAAGAGCATCAGCATTTTTGTTAAAATGGTCGTTCTTTGGAGCAAGATTAATGCACAACCTTACCCTTAATAATGCACAGTGTTTTGGTAAGCCATTCATCAACACCAATATATTGACTATATTCTAATGAAAAATATCGACTGAAGAGAATGTATGAATTAAAAATTGGTACTTTTGAAGGCACTTAAATTTCTAGTAATGTATTGAAAATTTTCAGTGGAAGCTTTAACATTTTTCTCCTCAGTGTAGCGATTTTAATTTTAGACTGCTGCTGTCAATCTAAAGTGTCCATAATGTTAAATGTTGTGAGATTATGGGATATAATAGTTTGATAAAAAATATGTTCCATTTTTATACGCCCGTTTACGGGACGAATTATGGTATACCGTTGTGCGTCGTCCGTCTGTACGTCTGTCGTCAACATGTCGGACATTAACTCAAAAACGATTAAAATAATATGCATGAAACTTTGGTGAATTGTTTATATCTATTGACGTGAGCTCCCTTTCGTTTTTTATAGATTTTAGATTTACAATGGGGTTTTATTCATTAAAAAAGGGTGATTTTCTTGTTTTTGGACAATAACTAAAAAATGCTTTAAGCAGTTCTCATGAAACTTTGTTGAAATATTTAAAGCTATTGATGTAATCTCCCTATTGATTTTCATAAATTTCAAATATGACATTGAGAAGTAATTGAACTTTATTTTTTTATAGTTGACAACAGATTTACTAAGTATTGCGCAACAGCACAGTGTATTGCACAACAGCAAGAAATCTTTAATTGAATATAAATTCAATTCATATAACCAATTTCAAGTTCTTTGACTACATTTATTCAGAAACCTATAATATGTCAAATATTTAATTACAATCCAAATTCAGACCTGTATCAAGCTTGAATATTGTGTCCATTTTTGCCCCAACTGTTCAGGGTTGGACCTCTGCGGGCGTATCCAGCTGCGCTCAATTAAGCAGTTTATTTATTATAAAGTGCCATAATGTGATCATTGTTAAATAGTTTTTACTGAACATGTATAGTGTCGTATTATTATTGATTGCCCATATCGCACGTATAAATATGTTGTCAGTAACTTTTGATCTGTTCGAAACAATAAATTTATAAAATTATCATTCAAAATCCTGCAGCGAAGCTCCGGATTTATAAAATTGACAGAGAAAAATGCACTGAGCGTCGGTCATAAGATTTGAAAGGATATAAACATGTTATACAAGATGTTTGTTTCAATAATGTTTTTGATAACGATGAGCTCAATCTATATCAATCTGAGCCATAGCTTTAGAAAATTCATTGTGGAACATGTATTGATGATAAAGTTTATGCTAAAATCTTACAAAAAGCTTCTGACTTTGTTTTTTAGGTTCATTTCACCTTATCAGAATGTTACTTGATGAATATGTATTGCTAGCTGTTGAAACACAAATACATGTAGAAAAAGACACAGAACTACAAGCCATATTGGAAAAGCATATGAAAGCTGGTAGGACTATACAGTGAAATATCCACAACAATATGAAAATATCCACAACAATATGAAAATATCCACAACAATTTGAAAATATACACAACAATATGAAAATATACACAACAATATAAAAATATCCACAACAATATGAAAATATACACACACAAATGTTTGAGCAAGGGACATTTATGGAAAATAAAAACAGAAATTTATTTAGATACTAATATTTAGGTCTTTTCCCTTCATATTTCACTGATGATCTGCATTTCAACAGCTTTTCACATTAAAAAAACAATTATCTCCAGGAAATCTGAATAAGGAACGACCCTAGCACCTTTTTCATATTCTTAATACATAAAAAAAGTTTTAAAAAAAAAAGTTGTCCTACAGTTTAACTAGATATTAATATTGATTTTGTCTATTGTGAATGTTCTACCTTATTTTTCCCACGTAACTTACACTCTTCTTGTCTAAATTAAGGCGACAGTAATTTATCATCAAATCTCGTAAATCGATTTAGAAGAGACAAATCAAAGAAACAAACAAAAACCCGAGGGAATCACATAAACTCAAAAAGCAGAAAGATAGAATGACATGGAAAGCGTCTACTGCAATGCATGCATCACCCGACTTGCGAATTCACACTGGGACAACATATCAGACGACTTTACTTGTACATTATACTAAACCTTATTATTTCATTTCAGATGAAACAGGTTCTCGTCCTATCTCAACCCAACCAAGTACCTGTTTTCTTGCCAACCGACCAAATGGGAATGCTCGTAATAATAACAATATCATGCCAATAAAACCGGAACGTATGGACGGGCCAATAAATGGAATCAATCCATATGGCCAAATGATTCACACTGATAAAGAGCAGGCATATATGTCAAATCATCTACATAATCTTACTGCAATGACGCAGGTTAGTTCACGGATAAATCAAGGGGTTAATGTAAATTCTATTCAATATTGATATTAATAGCTTTGTTGAAAATTATTTCTTTAACATGACACCATGGCCGTATTACATTTATAGCAAATAAATTGAAATGAATTGACCAAAAATGCTTAAACTTGAGTCAATGCCAAACAACTTCAAACAGCAACGAAACAAATACCTAAAATGGAAATAAAATATACTAAAAATTATCAGAAGCAAAAAGATATTGAAAATTACACTTTGTAAAAAAGTATAACAAAAATACCGAATTCCATGGTAAAATCAAAAAGGGGTAAGTCCATAAAAACTGACAAAATCAAACGTTTTCAACCAACGGAACGATTAAAAAACAACTGTAATATTTCTTAATTGGTACGTCACAAGAGCTTTTCTGAAATACTTTCATAAGAACCAAAAAAATTGTAATGCCAAGGATGTAAAAATACTTAAAAAACTACATTACCGAAAGGTACCTTAAACAGATAAACCAAGCCGTCTACGAGGAAAGGAAACAATGTATATGTTTTGTTTGATATCAAAATAAGCGGAAAACTGTTCAAAAAATGCTTTAGTGATTGCAAAAAAAAATTATATCTAATAAACTAATATTTCTGTTATAGACTATCCAAGGAGGAGGTATAGGTAATTTGCTGACGCCACCAATCTCGCCAATTGTCGTAAACCCAATGAGGACATCTGTTATTAATCCACCCATATCATACGTGTCTCAGTCACAATCGTTAGTTACACCATCATATCCTTATTTAGGTATGTAATCCATCTATATTATATCATACGTTTTAGCAGCTACAGTCATTATGAACATAGTCACATAGTCATAATCCTATGCATTCAGTTAATTTATCTATGTTTCTCTGATGTAAAAGTTAGTAACTTCTTTGTATCGATTGTATTTTTAAATGATGATTTGACTTTGAGGGGAAAAGTATATCAAAATCAATTAACGGGAGGTGCGAATCGAAAACTGTTGATTGGCTAATGAAAACCGACGATAGTGTACTTTGTAATTTGATAAAATGATTGATTTGTACTCCTACAGTGAACATGAATCAACCCCTTTACTATGTTGCCAAGAACACCTATAAACCATTTCTTTGTTTTAACTTGCCATATATTTATATAAATCATATCATATTTTGTGTGACTAATCTATAATAAAAAAGGAACGAATTCGCCGAATTTTCAGTAACATGCTAGGCTCAAATTGGTAGATATGTAATATAGTCTCTACAAACAGGCAAAAACTGTTTTTCGCAGTTATTTGCAAACGCATTTTGAATGCTCTTTTATGTCAAATTCATCCAAAAGTAGAATATTTTGGAATCCTGTGACATAACAGATATTCATGCTAGGTACTTTAGTACAAAGACGTAACCACATTATGTTTCATCGTTGTGTGCTATGTAATTCAAACCGCCCAGACACTTTTGTTTTCCTTAAAAGTAATATTTACTGATAATAATCAAATCTGGCATATTCACAATACGGTTTTGAAGTAATTAGAATTGCCTCCCTTTGTTCATTTAACACATATGGTATAACTGGTACTTTTCCATACACAAAAGTTACGTTTGCAGAAATAGTAATTATAATAATATAATGAAAAGATGAAGTTCTTATTTTTCTGAAAGGTGAAAAATTATAAATGCCTTTTATCACTTAATTGAGCAAGGGCTGTAAGCATTTAGACATGTGTTTTCCTTACATCGAAATCGTGTAAGGTAAAGTAATGTTTTATTTATCGAAAGTCTGCAATTTACCATACGCATTCACACGTGTGAGAATTTTGTTTAATTGTCGTTTTTTGTACTCGTTGTATGGACTGACTTATCTGAATTTTATCCTTTGTAAATAGTTTTCAAAGACAATTTCAGTGGTTTTTACAATAACGTAGTATTTTATTTTAATTGCAGGGCAACATGACTATCAATCTGGTTCTAATTATAACATTGGTGGATATAGTTCTCCTTATTCCAGAAGTGCTTTTAGTTCTCATCCTGTAAATCCAGTGCCGTATTCCATGAAAAATGACTTTGACATGTTCAATCCATTTTCGGAACATACTTTTAATGATCCATATTTTAATCCATCATATCCAAGTCCACAACAACAAACATTTCCATCCACCACAGTTCAAAGTCAGACAGGAAGTGCGTTTAATGTAGTGCAGAGTAACCCATCATTTAATGCACCATACTCGGTTGGAGGTAAGCATCAACATTATCTCAAACATTTATAGTGCGCTATTTATTTCTTCGGTAAATTATTTCAAACAAGAAAAGCGTATTGTATCAATCAATTGTTGCAGCATGTTTTAACCAATTTGCACTACTTGAAAGTCAGGCTAGCTTCTCATCATTCCTGTTACTTACTGACCGACAATCAAATAGAAGAAGTTTTTAGCCGGGTTGCATGAAGTGCAAATCAGGCTTATAGTACGAAGAATGTAGTGTTAGCGGGAAATGTGGATACTAGTTTTGGAATTAACTCTTCCTACAATGTTCATCCCAAAGCCCTGTAAAATTTCTAGATTGGGTGTTTACTCATTTGAAGATGTGCACTCCGATTTCTGTATACAATTCCGTAGTTTTGTCTTATTATCTAGAAGTTAATACTTGTTTAATTTGCAGCAGTATTATTGATGAGGGTACTCATGTTGTTTGATAAGCTCCATCCACAGGTTTAACCCAGATCCTTTGCACAATATAAAATATTTGTAAATACATTGAATTTATGCATATCACTTTGTGTACACATTTAGATACAAGGTTAAACTTAGTTATGTCCAGCAGCATTCACGATGGAGGTTATTTATTTTTTATCATCATCTCCTTCTCAATTCTCAACCCAGAGCCTTTAAACTTTCTAGAATGTTTTATAAGCATTTAAATGTGGATTTAATTATGTATTCACGTTTAGACGATGGTTTCCTTGGTATATTTTAACTGTTTTTAATCGATTTTAAGCAGCTTTATCTATGGAGAGTAACAACACATCATGCAGTTTTCAGCGGTTCTTCATTCTTACTAAAAAATTTGTTCAAAGATTTAAGATACGGTCCACATATTGTTAACTTATTTGAATATTCATTTTACAATTATTTAGCTCTTATCTCCTAGGAGACAACTGTTTTTCTTAGTTTTGCTGATTTGGAGAGCTCTTAGCATTGCAACTCACTTGAGTTCACTGAGCAGTCCTAAGAAAGAAAAAGGTTGAGCGCTCACAAATTTGTTTAGCCCCACCACATTCTTTATGTGCTGTTCAAAGTCAAGAGCCTGTTATTTAGTGGTTGTCGTTGGTTTATATCTGTATCTGTCATATTTATTTTTCGTAAATAGTAATTATAAATTAGGTAGTTGGTTTTCTCGTTTGAAATGTTTCACATTTTGTCATGTCGGGACCTTTTATAGCTGACAATACAGTATGGGTTTTGCCCATAGGTTAAGGCCGGACGAGGACCTATAGTTGCTTAAATCAACGTCATTTGGACTATGTTTTCCGGTCAGGTTAATGTTTTGGTTTAATGTTGTTACCATAAAATTGTGGTCACTTCAATTTGACACTTAGTATAGATGTTCAATTTGATGTGAATCTTTGAACATTGATGACAAATTAGTGTTTTGACCTATATTTTGCGATTTACTGAACATTAAAATGTGACAGTTCGATAGGAGCCTGGTGTCATTTGGACACATATTCTTCTCTATTCTTAAAACTGCAAACAACGATTTCCCCATGTACTCAATGCTTGCCAGTTTTTGAAATTACACCATTAATATTGAACCGTTGAATTTAAACAATTTTAAATTAACTGATCCAATTTAATGAATAAAATTTGTCTTTCAGAATTTTTTAACTCAAGCTACCAACAGTCAAACAAACCATTGGTGGAACATGTATCTGTTATCCAGTCACGAAGCCATTTCCAGAATGACATCGACCCATTAAATATCTTGGATAAACCACACCACCGAAAAGAGGCTAATTATGGTAGTCCTGCTAGCTGTCACAGTCCTAGGCAGTTACATAATGGTAGATATATGACAATTGATGTTTTTCTCCTTTTATATATAACAACAGTATAGAAAAATGTGACAAAATAATTTTTGACACAGTGCACATCAAATTGTGTAACATTTCTGAAGGTTTATGTCTTACTTGATAAAATGAAAATATTTTGTTAATTAATAAAATGGTAACATAAATACACGATACCCGTTTCTGGAATAATCTATATCAGGACCCACGAGACCAAAATATCTAAAGCCTACTAAAGTCAGCTTTCCCAGAAGGAGATGTTAGCCTAGTGTTAATATAATTACATAATTCATAATTTAAAAATTTAGAATAAGAATGGTAAAATATGCAAAATGTTTAAATGTGCGTATTTTGTCTTTTTTATTCTAATCAATTGTTTATTTGTTGTAGTTCACCAATCAGAGAATCTCGGAGATGACATAATAGGAATGGCAGTAAACGGTATGTTAGCAGCAGACCATGACATGTCGTCACACTTCGCTGACCCCGGAGCTTTACCACCTGTGAATACAATTTTCATGACGTGATCAGACCTATGTTAATGCATATCATTCTATGGAAGGTGGTATAGATGAATCAAACAAAATCAAAAGCAGTCTGAAAGCAATCACCGATGTTGAATAGGCTGCATGCGTTTTGCCACCAAACGTTTTAGGTTATAATTTGAGTCAGATGAAATGGTTGAAGCAATTGAAATTAAAGTGCAATGATAGTGCTAACTAAAGATTCGATCATGATAGAAAAGGAAACTGTGATTAATAGACACATTTTTTGTTGATTGTCGAATTGACTTAATGTAAGGACAAGCATGATTAATATGTGAGCAAATCCCCGTTTGAATATCGGTAAACTACTGTTGCCTGAATTTTGCAATCTCATAGTGTTACTTGTTAACATGTTCTTCAAACTAATATGTTTCTATCTATTGTTTAGTTTAATTCCTCTTCTTTAATGAAGCCTTGTAAGCAATATTATCAAAACCCGAATACTAGTACCTTGAAATGATATTTCTTCTTTTGTAGCGATTTTATATCGAGTAGATATTAGTAATAGGAAACGTTTCTATCTTTTAACTTTTTTTTTTGTTTCTATGTCAAGCAAGCAATATATCTTGTTTTTCTATTTGAGCTGGAAATGATCTGAGAATAAAAGTAAATTGTTAGTGTGTAAATGATTTTAAGACCCAATTGTTAGTGTGTAGGTGATTTTACTTTACAGCAATAGCTAGAACAAATCGTGTTATTTATCATTTGTGTATATACATATAGAGGTAGAATATAGACGTGAATCAACTTGCCATTTTTGTAACAGAACAAATCAAATTTGCAATTCTGTTTACATATTATAGTGTTATGTATATAAAAGCATATAAAATTTCAGATGTTTTTATTTTGTAATTGAATGCAATTATATTTATGTTTTATTTGTATATTTTTGTATAAACATGTTTACATTTTGCAAAAGAAAAAGGAATATTTTCATTTCATAGGGTAATTTGTTTAGATAAAAATGTATCTTGTTATGTATTTCATTCTGGTTTTATTCGTATTGTATTGTATAATATCCTCCTACTGAAAAAAAAAGTGTCTGTATAATAACACATGGCATGTCTTGCATGTTAAATTAGATATTGGTTTTATTGGTTTATTTTGGAAAGTGACTTTGATCAATAGAATATAATAACATACATTAATCTGGTTATCCATTGAAGAATACTATACTTGTGAAGTTTTAACACAGAAATTGTTTTTTTAAGTAAACATTTTTGTGAAGAGAAAATAACAGTTAATGTCGAATCAATTCATCTGCTGCAATATAAATTTGGTATCGTTCATGTTATTGAATGTAAAGCATGCAAGATTTTAGATTTTCAGACTGAAGTAATATCTAAAAAGGTATGCGAAAGGTTGATCAACAAGGTATATGCGAAAGGTTGATCAACAAGGTATATGCGAATTCCTACGCACAACTGTTATAAATCGATACAAATAAATATTAACGAAATTAAAATTAGCTTATAATTGTGTACGTCAGACGAGCATGAAAACGTTTATTCTAGTGATAGAAGACACATTATTTTCTTTTTTATGTGTATTCTTTCCATAGAGAACTATAGACAAAGCTGTGCTTAATCGTCAAACATCTTTTTATTAACTGATCATACTTTTGTTTTGATTTAGTGAAAAATTCTGTATTGATAAATAAATCAATCAATCAAAACTTCCATTTTTGTTAGTTTCAGATTGCTTTCTTTTTTCAATTGTTTGTGAAAAATATTTACCATTATTATTTTTGTAAGGTTATTATAGAAAGGCTATATTCTATAAAACATAAATTATTATTTTCTTAGCAATACATATATATAAATTAGAACTTGAAACTATAGTCCTAATTTACTGTAAAAACTAGTTTGAAATGGCATGAAACGATACTACTGATAAATTCCTATTTCTTTCTTTCATTATTTATATACCGTGTTTATCATTCCTTGCTTTGTTATGATCTGTTGTGTTTTATTGTTATATTTTGTCATTTTTTTCATACAATGGATATCAGCTTGTAATATTACTTTGATAATATCACATGATCGGGCAAAACTGTCACGATATTAAAGGATATTCTATGTATAAAAAAAAAAACACAGAAAGATTCACCTTTGATATGTGTTAAGTACGACTTTGAAAATAGAGCGGTTTTGATAACAAAAATCCGCATCACAATCTAGAACTTGTTGTTGTACGGTACAAGCCTCAATTATTTAGCTGTTCAAATCAGTCCGAGCATGTGAAATTTTTAAAGTAATATGATGTGAACAAATTTATTATTCTATCTATATATAGAATAAAATATTTAAAAAAATATTTAAAAATTTCTTTGAACAGAATTGCTAAAATACAAAAAATGGAAACAACACATTATAAAATTGATGCGTCCGAAACGCCTTTCTGAATTAACCTTAATCGGGAACGCTCATAGACGAATATTTGAAATCCTAGGATGTATAAGAACCGAAACAGTTGAAGAGCTATATGACTAAGAAGAACCTAACAAAATAGCCAAATCCATTAAGAGTCAACTTTGCCTTAGGGAGTTGAAACCTTAGATAGTTTGCGTGTCTTTATTTGATGAATCTTACTTATTATTCGTTTACTTATTGGTATGTTTCACCAGCTCAACAGTTCGTTTGGTTAAAATTAACTAAATTTGAAAGAAGGATTATACATAATTCTAAATTCAGGTTCACAACGATTGGAAGTAGACCACAGTTTGTATAAACTGAAAAGTAAACTAGCTTACTAGTGTAAATAGCTTATGTTAAATTGGAGAAGATGAATTCGGGGCAAATTGAAAATTAGAATTCGAAGAAAAAATAGACAAAAACCATCTAAACTTCAGTTGAACTCAAGTAAACTGGAAAGGAAAGCAGTTCCTGCTCTACTGGTGTCTCCCGTTTTGTTGCTCATGGCAATAAATCTCAATTCGTAGTGTCAATATAAAATTATCAAAGAATCAGGCTTACATTATGCTACGCAAAATGCGTTTTTCGTATAAATAAGACGCAGCGGTAGCACTTGAAAGTTTTGAAGGCGAATTGGCATCAAAAACAAAAACAAAATCGAAAAAAAAATTGTGCGCAATGTACATATGCTCACCTATGCCTGTGGTAGAAAAAAAACTTACTGTTTCGAATGACTTAACATTTAATGAACAGTAAATTTACAGTCAATGACCGTATCAATCAAACAAGTAAAAGGGGTTAAAACAAGAGGAACATATCTTAAGTAATCTTTAACACACATATTCCATAACAGTCAACTAAAGTATGATGGCGTCTTTAAAATGTTCGAAGAGGAGACTTCAGCTTTATAAATAAGAACCATCGGTCCAATAACTAACTTGTAAAGAGAAAATCTCTATCAAGATTGGAAGCCTTGGAATATCGTATGAACTTGGATATACATATTCCATATGTAAAATGTTGCAACATGAAATTGAAATTAAAAGAAGTTTTACTAATTAAAAATATTGTAGTTAAGTTTTAAACCTACCCTTTTTGGTAGATGATAGTCCATATATGAAGCACACCTAACTGTATTTATAGTATCCTCTATTCCACGTTCAATTGGAAAGATGTGATAACGATAGTCACAAAATTTAAATTGTTAAGTTTTCGGACATCATCCATTTAGCGGAATGTGAAGTTGTATGATAGTAATAGTTTCTATATGAGAAGCCCTTCTATCAAGTCTTTGCCAAACACAAATATCAACAAGTCGCCGAAAAAAATTGAGCGCCATTGACAAGCATATCAATGCCTCTTGTGCAAAACACGTTAAAAATTTGTTGTCAATAAAAAATCCAGCGAGTATATGTTTTCATTTGTAGTTGTTACCAAATATGATTTGTCCTTTCTTAAAACACAAAATTTATATCTGTATATTTTTTATTAAATTGAACTTTTTCTTCAAATTAAGATACAAAACGCTGTCTGAATCTTACATTTGTTTATGCAGTGTTATACTGTTATACTGTTGCCCTATGTTCAAATAGGTGTGGAAAGCCTGTAGTTATAGAGATTTTGTGTACTAATTAAAGGAGCTTTTCTGTCCTAAATAAATGCAATAGCAGTATACCGCTGTTTAACAGTCATAAATCGATTTAACTGAAACAAATCCGGGTCACAAACCAAAACTGAGGGAAACACATCAACTATAAGAGGAAACAAAACGGATAACCTCTACTTAGATGCGAAAAATAAAGTAAATTATAAGATAACAATACACATCAATGAATATCAAATGTCAAGTAAAAAGTATTGGACAATAATTACCCAAGATAGCTGTTACTAGCAAATGTACTTGAATTTAAATATAGTTTTAATTAAGAAGATTTGAAATACAAGCTCATTATTTTTTAAAGGATATTTAATAAGGTCGATACCCTACATGGTGCTGGTAATGGTGTAACTAAAACAGTGTATACATCTTGTAAATTCCATTATAATTAAGTGAATCCTATACAGCATTCTCAAATTATAACTATGTAATGTAGATAGCAACTTTGGTCGGAAAACAAAAGTATTTTTTTTTATCAAATAAGACAAATGTTACCTTATTGATAAACAACTGATAGCATGCATTTGGTGAACATCTATATGGTTGAGCTTGCTAATTTATCAATACCTTATCAGAAGATGAGAACGAAGAACAGTTATTTAAAATTAAAAAAAAAATAGATTTTAAAGATAATACAAAATTGGAATGTTTGTGAACAATACACAAATTAATAAAAACTAAAAGAAAATAAATGTAATAAGACGGTTAGTTTTCTCATTTGACTTTAGTCAGGCTGTTAGATTTCTCATTCGGCTTATATCAGGCCCTTCATTTTCTCGGGGTCTTTGATAGTTTTCAATGCGGTATGGGTTTTGCTCATTGTTGAAGGTCGTACGGTGACCTATTGTTGCTAACTTCTACGTCGTCATTTGGTCTCTGGTGGAGAGTTGTTATATTGTCAATCATACCACATCTTTTTTTTATACGGATAAACAAGAACAATCACCATACTAAAATGTCAATCAAAGATATGAAACCGATTTCTATGCGCACGAAACGAAACTTGTGTCTGGAATACTTAGTATTCTTAACAAGGTATGAGCGATAACAAAACCGTTTAAGGTCAACTTTGCTAATGCGATTTAGAATTAATTTGTTTGAAAAAAACATAGATTTTTTAACTGGAATTTACTGACAAATATATCATTATAATCTAGCCTGCATCGAACTATTGTATGAAGAGAGGATAATACCTTCGGAACTAACGAATCACTAGCAGCGGTATTGAATCGGTTCTAGTAATAAAAAATGTATGGAACGGATTGCCGAACAAACGACACGTGTTTCTAGGATAACATGCATCAGGAAAAGTGCATACCAAAAAATACAACATAAGATCGGTTACGACTTATGCACAAATTAAATGTTTTATAATCCAAAATTTAAATGGGTTCAGCAGACGCATGCCTTGATTTTTCCAAACAAGAGATGTTATAAATAGAGCATATGTCTATCAGACCAGAACACCTGTAAACAAGATATATCTGTGCAACTCAAATGAATTTGCATCAAAGTTTTGTATGTATGGTCGAACGTTAATGTTTTGTAGAAGGATAAACTAGGTTATAGAAGTATGTTCAATTGGACTTCTGCGATCCGACAGCAAAATCCTTATTTAGTAGGCGTCCATTTTAATTGTGCAAGAAATATAATTACAAAGCCACGCCCGGTATCAAACGACCCTTGCAACATTACTTTAATTGGTTTATTGGCGGAAGGCAAAATAGCTGCCCTAACCCTTGAAAAATGTGTTTCCATTCTCTGGTCCTTCATCACCGTCGGCAAACTTTGAAAAACCTACCCATTGGAAATATTGTTCATTGGTTCTCGATTTAGCTTCATACAGGGACTTCTAACGAGGAATGAAATTACGCTAGTGTTATCCTTTTACTTCATGTTCTGCTATTTATGTAATGTCCTCTCACTAAACAAATCAGAGTTTGGTGAATTCATCTATCCCACCGAACTTGAAATTAAGGATACCACAGATAAACTAAAGTCTGCTTAACTTACAACTAAAACTTGAATTCAGTTTTTCGTTTGTGAATTCTCATTTCTATGTAGCAATATTCCAATAGCGCCTGCATACCAAGTAAATGCTTTAGTGATTGCAAACAAAAAGTATATCTAATAAACTAATATTTCTGTTACAGGCTATCCAAGGAGGCGGTATAGGTAATTTGTTGACGCAACCAATCTCGCCAATTGTCGTAAACCCAATGAGAACATCTGTAATTAATCCACCCATATCATACGTGTCTCAGTCACAATCGTTAGTTTCGCCGTCATATCCTTATTTAAGTATGTAATCCATCTTTATTATATCAAATCCTTATGCATTCAATTAATTTGTCTATGTTTCTCTGATGTAAACGTTAGTAACTTCTTTGTATCGATTGTAACTATTTTAATTTACAACTGCCTTGGTTCGTCATTTAGGTATATTGTAATACATTTGTAAGTCAGGAATATGGCAGTTGTTATCAAATAGTCCGTTTCTATGTATGTTGGCTTTTGTTTTTGTAGCAGTTCAGTGTTTATCTTGTTCCGTTGTTTTCCTCTTATAGTTGATGTATTTCACTCGGTTTTTGTTTGTGACCTGGATTTGTTTCAGTTAAATCGATTTATGACTATCGAACAGCGGTATACTACTGTTGCCTTTATTTAAATGATGATTTGACTTTGAGTTAAAAAATATATCAAAATCAATTAAAGGGATGTGCGAATCAAAAACAGTTGATTGGCTAATGAAAACCGACGATAGTGTTCTTTGCAATCTGATAAAATGATTGATTTGTACTCCTACAGTGAACATGAATCAACCCTTTATTATTTTGCCAAGAACACCTATAAACCATTTCTCTGTTTTAACTTGTCATATATTTATATAAATCATATTATATTTTGTGTGACTAATCTATAACGGAAAAGGAACGAATTCGCCGAATTGTCAGGAACATGCTTGGCTCAAATTGGTAGATATGCAGTATAGTCTCTACAAACAGACAAAAACTGTTTTTCGCAGTTATTTGCAAACCAGTTTTGAATGCATTTTTATGTCAAATTCATCCAAAAGTAGAATATTATGGAATCCTGTGACCTAATAGATATTCATGCTAGGTACTTTAGTACAAAGACGTAACCACAGTATGTTTCATCGTTGTGTGATATGTAATTTAAACCACCCAGACACTTTTGTTTTCCTTAAAATTAATATTTACTGATAATAATCAAATC